CCTATTCTATATAACTGCGTGCATTCCACTTTTAAAGTGAGTACGACTTACTGACACCTAGAGATGCCAGCAGTTCGCACAAGTTTCTACGATGAAAAGAGTCAGGTTCGTGCACCAACTGTCAATTGCCCCTTAGTGAACCGGGAGTAAAATGGCGCCTCGTTTGAAAAGTCTGAAATCAGCGTTGGTACAGAAACCGTCTGCAAGCTTGGCGCAAATCTGTTCGTAGGGAAGGCTACATATATCGTCATAATATCTGGGCTGACCAAAGACCACTTGGTCCACGAACAACAACCAGACCATCGACAGATGCTAGTCTTCCTTATGAGCAGTATGAGGTTGCGTATTTAGTGGTCGTTCCGTAGAAGATCCCGAGTGTTCTTCCTATCATGACAGACAAACATACTACTACGCGGTTTTAGTGGCCTTTAATTTGTCATATGCTAGAAAACGGACATGGATAATTTACGAATGAATGAAAACGTTCGCGTTCAAGGCTTTTGTATGGATAATGAAGAAGGACTGTCGAGCACCAGAGCAATTTGTTTCTTGTCCTGAGCTTTCGAACCCTGGGTATGTCGCAGGGGGTTAAGTTAATTGAGAAAACCCTAAGAGCTGCCATCTTCTGGCCCGGTTCCTTAGGAGAAGAGAAGACATGGGAGGCCAGAATGGTAGGAACAGTTTCTTAATTAATTATTTATAATCGCAGCAAACCTCACTGCTGATTTGATGTTCAGAATCTAAATGTCGATGTCGATATCCGCTGGCAACACTGTTTATCCAGTATAATTGCCTGGCGCGAGAGTGTAAGTTGTAAAATTTATGGAAATGAAGTTGGACTAGGTTAATGGGACTGCATGCCTGATGTCAAAATGTTTCCGGCGAGACTCGAAAAATTACCGGACAGAACCGCTACAGACAAAAGCCGTGGTGTTCTTTATTAAATTAAGTCATTCGTCACCCCTGTATAAGCGAGGTCACTTATCCACCGAGGGGTCTTTATATACTGGTTGGGCAAATGCGCATTAAGCTGGCTGAACAACCGTTTTTTTCCACCGTCCATGGCTCTCGGGCTTTATCGTGATCGAATCATTGCCCAAAGATGACCGAGGAGTGTTCATAAGCCTGTGCACTAAGCCCACGGA